AAAAAAAAAAAAGAAAGGGGCTGGAGCTGTCTTTTCAGGACCCTTTCAGAGCAACCATTTCAAGAGACCTTTATCCCTGAATTAGCAGGAAAGAAGGAAGGCAGGTTTTCTGGGAGGAAGGAGAGGGCTGGATCTGAAGAAAACTGCTCCTATTTAAAGCAAAACTAATCAATTAGTGGGGACTAGATCTGCCTCATTGTCTCAGTCACAAAGTTACATGTGTGGATATCCAAGAGAGGGCAATTAAAAAAAGACAAGAGAGAAATCTGACAAGGTTGGAAGGAAATCAAAGTGACAGGAAGGCTAATCAGGGAAGTGGGAGATAAAATCATGACAAGTTCATAATGGGTTTTCAAAATTGAGGGAGACAATTTTGAACTCTGGATTTATAAGTGAAAAGGAGAAATCAAATATGATTAAGTTGGAAATAAACCAGTCATGCATGGACTCCCAGACCAAACAGCAGCTTGTTAGTCCAATAAAAATGAACACACCCACTGAGTTAAGAAGGTGGAGGTTTTGACAAACAACTTGGTCACGGCTTTCTAATACAAATTAATCTGAATGCCTGCAACTGCCTTCTATACCAGGCTTTGGTTTAAAACCAATTGGGAAGTAAGAGAATCAAGCCTTGGTGGGTTGGGTGGGCCAGATGGCCTTCCTGCTCTCCTCACCTAAGATCCGGACTCTCATTCTGTTCAGAAATGACTGTGACCCATGTTGGGTGGGGTCATTTGGGATCAAAGGAGGCAAGAGAAGGCAGAAGACAGAAAAGCAGCCATACTGAAGGGCAGGCATCAGTAAGCTGCAGGTTTTGCCTGGCCTAAGCAATGAAGGATATTTTAAATCTGCTTTTGTAAGGTGGAATTTTAAATTGTAAGAGATAAAGGACTAGTCCATCACTCAGGTCACACAACAGTGGCTGCCAGTGTGATACAGTAGAAAGGGCACCAAACTGAGAGTCATAAGGTCTAGCTTTGTGACTCTAGGGCAGCACCTCCCTGAGCCTCAATTTTCCTCAGCTGGGAAGTGGGGAGAATACCTTCTAGGACTGTTCATGAAATAAGATGATGTCAACATGCTTCGTGAGCACTCTGCGAATGCTAGAATTCTTGTTATGGATGGTTATTACCTGGTCATCTCAAACAAGAAACTGCCAGATGTGTACCCCTCTCCCTGCAGCCTGTGTAGCCCCAGATTTGGAACAAAGCATCGTCTCAAAAACAAACAAAAGGGTTTGTGCACATGAGGTCCCAAAGCAGGAGGAGAGAGGCTGGCCTCACCTGATGTGCTGAAGCTATTTATAACTCAACAGTGACAGCCACAGGGATGGGAGCGTCAGAACACGCCCAGGAAAAGAAGAGAAATGGCATTTTAAAAAGGAAAATCCATTCCCCAGGCCAGACAACTCTCGAACGCCTATCCCTTTCCCAAACCCTAAAATACCTGATGGCCCTTGGAAATGCAAAGGTCTCACACTCAAAGTATACCTCAGTGTACGGACAACCCCACCACAGGCGGCCCTCCTGCCACTCGTGAACCCCATCTCCCAGGGTGAAAAACAAGGCCAGACCTGCTTTCCACATATGCCCCAGGGACCTTCATGGCCTAGGCAAGAAGATGAAGCTCAGTCCTGCCACTGTGGCCCCAGAGTCTAGGGTCAGCTCCAATCAACCAGGCGAAGGGCCTTGTGGCCTCATCTGACCCTCATCCCTTCCTGTTTGGCTCAAAACTCCCCTCCCAAGGCGCCCCATGCACCTTGCCCACACCCCTCCCCCACCCACTCAGCAGCAGCCCCCTCGACAGAAAGCCTCCTGCATGAACCTAGCAGCTGGGGCAACTCACACTCGGGGAGGAAACCAGGTCTCCCCGTGGGAAACGCCATGTACGATGACAATCCGCTACCGTAGACCTGTGCTTCCTAAACTTTGATGTAGTTAGAAAATAATGGAGGTGTGGTGGGTTGCTCCTTAACATGCAAGACCCCTGTCCCAGAGGCCGCAGATTGGGTGGGGCCCAGGAACCGGCATTTTAAACAGGCATCCCGAGTGACTCCGATGCAGGCGGCCCCAGGGGAGGGGCCCTGAAGCGTCATTTAAGCGATTGCTCCCGATCCCCTTCCGCCTCCTCAAACATCACCACCCACCCTCTCCCGCCAGACCCACGGTTTCAGCTCACCCCTGACCCTCTGTCCCCAGTCCCCTGGCCTCGTCCTCCAGGCTCCTCGTCATCCCGGCCCCATCCCCCTCCGCTGGACCATTGCTCCCTGACCCCAAGCCACCCCGGCCCCGCCCTCACGAGGCCACGCCCCTGCAGAAGCCCCGCCCCCAGGCCCGCGCGGACCACCGCCCCGCCCTCACCGAGGCGCGACTCGCGCGGGGGGTTCTCCATCAGCTTCTTCAGGACCAGGGGGAAGGAGCCCGACAGGCCCCTTTCCCCAGCTGCACGCCCCGGCCCCGGGCCGGGCCCTGCCTGCGGCTCCACAGGCGGCTTCTTTCCGCCGCCCGCGTCGGACATCGTGCCCCGGACTCGGCTCGCGCGCCTGGCTTCCCCCGCCCGCCCCCGAGATGGGCCGGAGCCTTGCGACCCGCTGCAGCTGCCGACACGGGCAGCTACTGCGCAGGCGCCCAACGGCGCCCCCGCCTCCCTCCATCGCTACCCCGCCTGCGGACCGGCTCTGATACATTAATTATTCATGAGGCCAGACCAGCTTCCCGGGATCGCGGCTCTGGATTGGCCCAGCCTGCGAGAGGGGCAGCCGCAGCTCCTCGGGCCGTGATTGGTCGGGGCAGCCTGGCTAAGCTAGGCACGTGCGGGGCCAGGTGAGGACCCCCGCGGAGGCCCCGCCCCGCTGCCCCCGTGTCCCTTGATTGGCGCCTGGTGGGGTCTATCGTGGGCCTTCCTCGGCGACGTTCCTTCTTTCCTACTAGTGTCCCTGCTTCACCGCTCTCTTCATAACCTCTCCCCTTCCAGACCACCGCAGCCTCTCCCTCTCGTCCCTGTCTCCCAACCTTCCCGACGCGCTACCGAAGCGGGGCGGGGCTCGGAGCGGCGGCCGGCCAGAGGGACCTATCCGAGCTTCCGCTGGCTCGGCATGGAAGTCCTCCGCGGGTCACGTGGAGCCGCAGCCGAGTCCGGTCGCGTGGGGCGGGGGAAGAGGAGGAAGGCGCGGGAACAGCCAATGGAGGGCGGGGGCGGGGCCCGGGGCGGTGCACGAGGCGCCGCACGTGCGGGGCTGCGGCGGGGCGGGAGGGGCAGGGAGTGACGGGCGTTTTTGTTCTGGCCAGGGTCGCGGGACTGGGACGCAGAACCCAGCCCGCACTTATGCTCCCAAGGGACCCAGAGGTTTCCTGAGGGCAGTACCGGGGACCGGGACCTGCCGAGATGTAGGGATGACCCGAGCAGGCTTGGCCGCCCCAGAGCTGGGTGTCGGGTTGCCCTAGGCTCCCGGGTTTCGGTGCGGGCGGGCGTGGCTGCCTGATAAACACTAGCGTGAGAGAGCATTCCTGAGGCCCCATCCTGAGCCAGGGCCCGGGTACAGGCTTCCGCCCTCCCACTTACTAGCTTGTGACCTTGGGAAAGTCCGGTTGCTTCACTGGCGCTTGTTTCCTAGGCCATAAAATTAAGAGGTTGGGCTACAGAATCTCTACAGTCCCAAACAGTTGTGAAATTCTGTTCCTTTCTAGGACTCTCCTTTCCTTTACCTGGAAAACAAAAACCTCCTTAACACCAGGTACCGATCCCACATTTTGTGGGAGTACCACTGCCTGTCTTAAAATATAAATCCTCCTCAGGAGTTCGTAGGAATCTGTAAAAATGTAATATGTGGAGCGGTACACAAATACAAAGTTGCTCCTAAACAGCGCTCAGAACTTTGTACCTCTTTATAGTACAAATCAGACACTACTGCAAACCCAGGCAACACTGGACTCCTGGAAGGCAGAGAGCTTGGCTTGTTTATCCAGCATCCCAGCAGTGGCCCACCCTTTCTAGCAGGAGGGGTTAGCGGGTGGCAAAGTGATAGTCCTTGGCTCGGGGTAGATGGGTGGTGATCCAGACACCCACAGCCAGCTAAAACTTGTCAAGCTGATGCAATCAGAATTTTGCTAGGGCTGGACGCAGCGACTTACGCCTGTAATCCCAGCACTTTGGGAGGCGGAGACAGTCGGATCACCTGAGGTCAGGAGTTCGAGACCAGCCCGGCCAATCGGGCAAACACTTCTATAAGTACAAAAAGAATTAGCTGGGCGGCTAATTGGTGGGGGCGCCTGTAATCCCAGCTATTCGGGAAGCTGAGGCAGGAAAATAGTTGAACCCAAGAAGTGGAGGTTGCAGCGAGCCGAGATAGCGCCACCGCACTCAAGCCTGGGCGACAGAGGGAGACAAGACTCCATCTCAAATAAATAAATAAATAAATAAATAAAGGCCAGGCACAGTGGCTCACGCCTGTAATCCCAGCATTTTGGGAGGCTGAGGCGGGCGGATCACGAGGTCAAGAAATCGAGACCATCCTGGCCAACATGCTGAAACCCTGTCTCTAGAAAAAAAAAATTAATAAAAAATAAATAAAATAACCTTGCTGGGGGTTAAGGAGGAAAAAGAAGTTGGGTAGCTGAGCAGGCCTGGAAAGCAAGAGATTTGAAGGACTTTGAGTGCTGGTAGGGACGTATGATGAGTCTGATTGCACAATTCAAGCTCTCACTGCTACTCTAATTGAATCTCAGTCATTTTCTGAATCTGATGCCTCAATTGCTTTACATCTTCAGGCCTCCTTTTCCTTTTATGTCAAATGGAGTTAGGGCAGGCTCTACCTTATGGGTTTTCTTTTTCTTTTTTTGGCGTGGGGCGGGTGGACAGAGTTTCCCTCTTGTTGACCAGGCTGGAGTGCAATGGCACGATCTCCACTTACTGCAACCTTCACCTCCCGGGTTCAAGAGATTCTCCTGCCTCAGCCTCCTGAGCAGCTGGGATTATAAGCGTGCACCACCATGCCTGGCTAATTTTTTTGTATTTTTAGTAGAGATGGGGTTTCATTCACCATGATGGCCAGGCTGGTCTCAAACTCCTGATCTCAGGTGATCAACCCACCTCAGCCTCCCAAAGTGCTGGGATTACAGGCGTGAGCTACCACAAGTGGCCTACCTTATGAGGTTTCCGTGAGCCTATTTGTACAGATGCACAGTTGCAAACTTTCAACAAATGTAGTTTTCATAATTTTACTAAAACTGGTTGGCATATCTGTTATCCCAGAGGCCAGTATGGTGCTTGTGTCACTCTCTGTAGTGAAAATAGTTAATCGTGTACAGAAAATCTGTTGTGTTGTAGAATTGTTAGTGAGAATTCTGTGTGTGGCTAAACTTAAACATCTTTAGGGGAAGCTAAGCTAGACAAAGGGCATTCCAAGGAAGTTGATTAAAGCAATACAGGGATTGGGCTCAGTGGCTCACACCTGTAATCCCAACGCTTTGGGAGGCTGAGGCAGGCAGATCACCTGAGGTCAGGAGTTCGTGACCAGCCTGGCCACCATGGTGAAACCCTGTCTCTACTAAGAATACAAAAA